AGATGTCAGCGAACCATGGGCAACTCTGTGACACAAACATCCTGACCAAACACTTCCTGTTTAAATGTGGCAGTGCTTTAAAATATGACACCAGGGCCATGGTGGCTTGCCGTCAGGAAACCTGGCAATGGAACTCGCTGAATTATCTGCTCGTTAAGCCAGGGACACGTGTGGCTGTGCCAACAGATAGGGAAGAGCTTTTCTGTGAAATACATCAGCCATTCTTGACTTTAAAAATCTAATCGAAATGTGAATAAACAGTCTAAGGTGAGTAACGACTGCTTCTGGGAGCGTAGTCCTTAGCTAGTGGAAAGGCCTTCTGGGAAAAGACCTCTGGGCTGCTGTCACCATTCAGCCCCACCACAAAGTGTCTGTGCCGCGGACACAAAAACTGAACAGGAAACAAAGGCTGGAATGGAGGCTGGATGTCTTCATTTGCAGACCCCTGTGGTTCTGTGCCTTGATGAGGTCGGTGGTGACTTTAGAAACGGGGCGTTTCCTTCCCTCCTCTTCAGTTGTGGCGTGGTCTGTATCCTCTCAACATAAAGACCCTTCTGCACACCTGGACCCCACCTTCCCACCGCAGGATTTAGAGATGACACCTCCCAGCCCCGCAGCTCCAAGCACAGCTCGCCGCTGCTCAGAGGCTGTGAGCAGGGTTGACCTCCGGAGAAGGGACTCAGAGCTGCCACCCCAGGGTGAGGGCCCATGGAGCTGGTGAAGCTCCTGTCTCTGCTGGACTCCACCTTCAACTCACCAGCAAAGCCCCGTCAAACCCTCTGCCCAAGCAGTGAGGCAGACTCTGGGGTCTGCACTAGAGCAGACATTGTGTGTTCAGGGACCACCACTCGGCTAGCTGAGGAGTGTGGCGGTAATATTCCTGCTGTTTTGCTTCAAGACCTAGCTATTCACCAAGGCAGCCTACACTTGTCTTATTCAATGCAGCCATTCATATTGTCTTCCCAGCGTGGTGCCTAACGGAGTGGGGGGAGGGCAGACTGTCACATCTGTCACTTAAGTGTCTGTGGAAACTTGGGTCAGCCCAATGGTCATCAGCCAAGAGGATCTTCATGCTTGTATGCGTCGACTCCCCCAACCCATCCTTTCTGGGGCTGCCTGTGGCCCAACATCACACCATCATCATCCCTCAGATCTGGGACCTTGAGAATGCCTCCATGACAGGGATGTCCTAGCTGAGTGGACCCCCGCCCCTCCACTTGACTATATGCTCCCTATTGAAATGTCTGAGAAACTCCTCCTAGGGTTGTCTGCCTCTCAGAGGCAAAGCGGGGTTAAGTTTCTGGAAGCACCAGGGCTAGGGGACTCAGGCCCTCACCACTGACCTACCAGTAGCCATCATTTGCTTGCTCTTATGGTGTGGGCCACTTACGAAAAAAACATCACCCAGAAAGCCAAAAACATCAGCTTCCCAAACAAATATGACTAATTAGATTTAGAAGGAAAGCGAAGCCCCATAATATACTACAGATTGCCCAGCAATACACACCTAAGGAGATAAGCAGGCCATGTGAAGAGAACTCCACAGTCCTACAGAGTGATGCCATTCTGGAGGCCCTAAAGTACCTGAGTGAGAAGGACCGCACCTGCACCCCAGTTTCAGACCCCAGAGAGCAAACTCTAAACAGATTCTAATAGCGGAGACTCTGGGAGACTTCACCTGTGTCTGGATCAAGGGCAGAAGTGGCAGTGTTCCCAGAGGAGTCCTGAGTGTCACTTGCCTCAGTAGCTACTGAAACGCTTCCCCAAATCGAAAAGCCACAGCAAAGGCCAGTGGCAGAACCCACAGGGTGGCAAATCTTGAGCATCCTGTCTAGGTGAGAATGCATCATGTCGTGAAGGTCATCTTTTGTTTGTTTTTCAAGACACAGTTTCTCTGTGTAGTTTTGGTGCCTGTCCTGGATCTCGTTCTGTAGCCCAGGCTGGCCTCCAACTCACAGAGATCCACCTGGCTCTGCCTCCCAAGTGCTGGGATTATAGTCGTGCGCCGCCACCGCCCGGCAAAGGTCATGTTTTAAATCAGTGTGGAAATCAGGCTGCTTTGTAAGTGATGCTGAAAGACAGTGGCCACTTGGAAGAACTCCCTCCTGCCACAACGAAGCTGAGGTGGGTGGATGCCTGAGTGTAGCTACCAAATCTGTCAACCTCCAAGAACACATAGTGGGGGTTCACAGGAGGACAGGGGCGGTTCTGAGTCAGGAAGCCCCAGACTGTATAAGAATCAGATAGACCTCAATGTGTCCAGCCTGAGCGCACACATAGTAGCAAGACAGAAGGAAGTTGCCACCAAACTGCCAGACCTACAAAGAGTCATGTATGCCAGAAAGAGGCCAAGGCCAGCATGGGGGGTCAGCAGGAAGGCGCCGGGAGCTCCTCAAGGGACACTGTGGCTATTGAACCTCGAGGACATTCAGCTATGGCCGACAGGCTGTCAGATGGAATGTCAGCAAGGCTCTATCCTGTATCCACTGGATGGACAGAAAACACATCCAGAAAGGACGTAACAGCTTGGCAGGACAGAGACATCACCTTGTCAGAGGACCTGTTCTGCCTAAGATTTCTTCTCTGCCTGCCTCTCCCTTCCTCAAAATCAACCCTTCACATCTGATCACCTCAGCCCAAAACACAGTGGTTCTCAATCTTCCTGATACTGTGACCCTTTAATACAGTTCCTCATGTTGTGGCGGCCCCCAACTGTAAAATTACTTCGTTGCTACCTCATGACTTTAATTTTGCTACTGTTGTGAATCATAATATAAATATCTGGCATGAAGGATATGCAACCCTTGTGAAGGGCTCATTCGACCCCCAAAGGGGTCATGACCCACAGGTTGAGAACCACTGTGCAGGAGGACAAGGACAGACCCTCCGAAGCCAGCGAAAGAAATCTGAAAACAATCTCTCTTCCCTACTAAGGGGTGGCTAACTAAACCAGAGCTGTCCATTACCAGGACACATGAGAGCCTGAAAACCACAGGTCACCTATAACTCCTTGGAAGGCATTTGCTAAGAGCTTCTTAGCAAAAAGGGCCAGGAAGGGGGATGAGATGGCGCAGCCCGTAAAGGTGCTTTGCAATCAAGCCTGATGCTGCGTTTCCTCCCCGGAACCTACATGATAGAAAGAGAGAGAACCAACTGTGTTGTTCTCTACCCTTCACATGTGCACCATGGCACGCACTCACACTACAACAAAGCTAAATGTAATTTAAAAAAAATAATAAAGGCCAGGGATACAGGCAACACTCAGCCCTGCCCTGAGAGCCTGGACCTCTTACCACTGTGGAAGGCACCCCGATACCACACCAAAGCTGGCCACTGGAACTCTCCTTGAGATGAGGTCATGGGCAGCTCAGGTAAGGTTGCTGAAGGGGCCCAACCCTCTGTGCCTGCTGCCCCTCCCTCAGAAGCCCCTCGGGGGTACAACAAGAAAGTTCCCCTTCTAATTCCATGGATTTCTTCCACGAGACCAAAATCTTGCTCTTGGTTGTTCTTAACGATCGTTCAGATGATGCATTTGGCACATGAAGATTTGCCTGAACGAATGTGGGCTCCAAGCTCGTCTCCAGCTGGCAGCTTGGCCTTCCAGAAGCTCCAAGGACTTCTCCCAAGCACCCACCACTTGCAGGCTTCCCGCTCCCTCCATATACATCCTTCCCCTGTACCAGCGGTGCTCCGGGCTCCCCAGGCCCCAGGCATAAGCAGGGGCAGCACTTTCAAAGGAGGTGAGAGGCACAATGGCCCCGTTGCTGCCAAGTTCAAATGCAAAAGGAACCAACCTTCTTCCGGGGACAAGGCCTTGACCGTTTCCACAGAAGATTTCAGACATCAGCAACCAGTGGCGACGGGAAGCTCCCCTCCCAGTTACCCACCTGAACCCCTACTTCTGTCACGCCTCCACAGTAACCAGAAGCAATGTCAAGGCTAGATCCTACAGGAACTAGCTCCCGTTCTGGGCGGGTCCAGGACCCGCCATGACCATGGGTTTGGGTCAGCTACAGGTGGCATGGGATCGGGGAGCACTGGCCAAAATTCGGGCCCCAGAGAATGCCTGGGGTGTCCACTAAGTGTCCCAGGGTGAGCTGGCCACACAAACTATCTGTGGAACATCTGGCAGGCAGCAGAAAGGCAGGGCTGGACTCACGGGGTGGTGGGGGGCGGGGG